GTTCACTCTCCTGATGGATTGTGAGACTCTGACGAAACAGTCTGTCACTACTCTATTTCTGTGTCCTTGACCTATTTTTAGTTGTTTCCAATACTATCGTCATGCCGCTGCTTGAGGTACCATGGGCAGCAAGATAGCTGAAAACTACGGTGTATCAGCAGATACCAAAGGAAGTGGGAAATAAGACTGTCAGGTGAAATGGGCCTCACATGATGCGGAACGTTCATCACATGGAAATGTGATGCAGTTGAATGCACGCACGCACACACACAGACAATAGACAGGGGCTGGAACGACAATGCCTATACAATTGTGGTCGGTGTGCGTCTGTGTTCGAAGCATGTAGGAGCCACGTAGCCTGTGACATCTGTCTCCGCTGTGCCATTCGATGCAGCAACTGCAATTGCGAGAATTGGATGCAGTGCTTCCACAGTCCACACTCGGACCATGCTGTCGGGTCTGTAGGGGTGGCCAGTTACCATAGGAAATGGCTGCTCCTCGACTCAAAATCTCTCGCAACTCGAACCCTGACTGACCCCTCGTGTCATTCTAGAGCAGTCTGCTGCAGTGGTGAGTATTGAAAACCCTCTGAAGTTTGTCGTTCCTCTGTCCTGCTCTTTGCCACTCCACTTTCCTCCTCACCCGTCTCTCTCCCGCCTCTCACTTCCTAAAAAAACTCCCACCTCCTACCCCTTCCTTCCTCCCGCCCCTTGCATACTACTAATAAATGCATACGAATGAGCATCATTAAACCACCAGTACTTGGCCCATATATCGGCCGCGGGCCTTAGCGTTAACGCTACGCGAAGTTCGCGCTTCGGGCAACCGGACCTAGAAGGCTGGCGCCGCCAGCCTTTCCGAAAACAAAAATGGAATTGGCGCTTCGGCGGGAAACGGCGCGCAGGGCACTTCCAGGCCCGACTGCGATAGCTGGGCCAAGTACTGGTGGTTTAAGAGAACATACAAAATGTAAGCTGAAGATTTGAAGAAAAATATACAGGAGTGGCCAAGCGGGCTAGCTCAGTTGGTTGAGCATGTAAGTGGCACTCAGGAGGTCGTGGGTTCGATTCCCAACATCGTCCTTTCAATCCCCGCGGCCTCCTGGGGGGTATACTTCAGGTTCACCAGCGGAGATTGTTGGCTTTGAGCCTCCTGGCTGGTTGTGGCAGTATTCAGGTCTTTCCAGCCCGCGCCAGGTGTTAGAGAGCTTGGATACTGCTCCCCGCACTGAGCAGAGACAGGTAGGCATAGACCCATAGCTATAGGATGGCTTAGTCCTGTTAGTGTACTTGAGAAGACTGGTGGCTTCACTCTGCAGTCTAGGATCCTAAACCCAAGTAGATAGTGCAGAGCAGGTAGAGGGAGATTAAAAAAAAAAAAAAAAAAAAAAAAAATCTGAAAAATATACAGGAGTATACCCCCCCCTTCACTCTGTCTCCTATCATAACGTGCAAGTGTGCCATTAAGGCACACAGCGATGTGGGCAGCTGGCCCTCAACCACAATGAACGTGGCCAGCCTTGTACGTTAAAAAAAAAAACAAAAAAAACAAGAAAATCTGAAAAATATACAGGAGTATAACCCCCCCCCTTTACTCTGTCTCCTATCATAACGTGCAAGTGTGCCATTAAGGCACACGGCGATGTGGGCAGCTGGCCCTCAACCACAATGAGCGTGGCCAGCCTTGTACGTGAGAGGCATAGTCAAAGGGTAGCTACAAGCCTGCAAGAATAAATAAGAGGAGTACCCCAAAGAAAACGAAAGTGAAGATAGACTTAGATAGTACGATACTAACGAAAACGAAACAATGGATCTATGTGCTCCGTGTTGCTTGTTATAGGGGCGAAACTGTTTGATTGTTGGATGGGCTCATTTCAAGTGTGCTTCATTGTCTGCAGTTGAGGTGAAGTTGCTTTCATTATGGATCTACTCATCTGGGTGGAACAGGGGCTGTTGTGGTGAAAAAATCTGAAACGCCAGACAATACAGTTGAATACGCACGCACGTGTACTCTCACACTCGCAAACACATTTTACAGCTCAGTGACGCACACATGCACTTGGCGGCATCATGACACACACCCACACATGTACACAGGCAGACGCAGCACAAGGAGAGCGAGCATATAGGTGTTGCAGCACAACACTACTACTCTTTAACTTAGTCAAACGCTTAGCAGAACATTGGTCTGCTATTCACGGTCGCATGCGCCTGCCAAGCAGAGCAACGCCTTCCACGTTTCAAACACTGCAGAGAGAGACGCAGTGCAGTTTTTTTTCAGACCTTTTGTGCACCGTCGTAACATTGTGTGAAATTACTGCCGACAGTGCCGAGTGTTTTCACTGTTCTAGTAACAACCCAAGGTCTGAAAGACTGACCTTTTGTGCACCGTCGTAACATTGT